AAAAAAAAGCCAACGATTGGAATGAACATGGTTTGAATTAATAACAAAAATAGGTATCACAAACTTATGCGCGAACAGTGCTATAGCAAAAAATCTGTTTTGGTTGATTGTTGGCACATGTTTTTATGTAGATTGGGTAGGTACACCCGATCACAGTGGATATGTAGGCATTGTTCTGAAGACGACAGTTAGCGAATGCAATAGTGCCTCATATCATTGTCACAGTTACAAATACCATAACTTTACATTACGATGGTGTTGTGTTTAAATGAGAAACAAAGAACTGAAATCCTAATTATGGTTGAATACGGAGATATAGGATCCGTAGTTATGATGAAATATGCCAATTATTCAATGCCAAGTATCCAGAACAACCAATACCTCCGTGTACAGTATGCAGATTAGTACCCAAATTTGAAGACGCTGGCCATGTTAGAAATGTGTCTAGATCTAGAAGGCCAACGACAGTGACATAAAATGATAGGCAAAATGTTATGTTTAGCTGTCATTGAAAATCCACACATTGCCATTCGTCGTATCGCCGCAAACGCCAACATATCAGTACATAAAAACGTACCTACAATCAACCAAAACACAAAACATCCCCAAATTTCCATTTTATACTGTGGCACTGTTCTCGCATCAGTTTATGATACCTACTTTAGTTGTTATTTTAAACCATGTCCATTCCAGTCATTGGCTTTTTTTCCGCTCCTGTCAAAGTAAAGTAGGCCAAACCCTATATCGACGTAATTCCCTTCAAAAGGACTATCCATTTATGCTTAAAAAATTAGGTGGTGCTATTTAAAAAAAATGTCGATGACGTCATAGATTTATGAAACATAGCGCAAAAAAGGTTTAAGCAACGTGACAAAACGACAATTCTAATTTACTAATTGACGTGTTTTAGCATTTTCGTGAAAACTCGACAGAAAATGAAATATGAATTTTTTGCGTTATTTCTGGGACGTACTGTATAAAACATAAGTCAAAATTCTACCCTAAAGATTTTGCGACGATCGATCGCATGGTTTTCGATTGACAGAATTGTTAATTAAGAAAATTTTAAAAAGTTTATCGCGTATAGTGGTTTTAAATTAAGGTTTAGAAAGGGCACACAATTTTTTAGAGATACTTGTCATAATAAACAATGATTAATACTAAAAATACCTATTTTTACACTTTTATAACAATTTACATTTTTTTTAAAATTATTCAACGTTTCTATAAACAATTATTTATTGCCCAGGGAATTTTCTATGCAATCGACAAAATCTTGCACACATAAAAACTATGTCGTAACCCCTTGCTTTTTAGCCAAATACGACAGCATTCTACTGTGCAGATTCTGAGATTCATAAAGTTAATTATTATAATTAATTTATAACTTAAGTAATCGTGAAGTCGAGAAAAAAAAAATGTTTTTATAGCTAACTACAAGTACTTTCAATATCCGTTTAGTGCATTTTCGGAAGATAAAAGCTTAATGAAAGAAAAATCAAGAAAGGTACCGTGGTCACTGGAATTTCTCGGCAAAACGGGAATGACTGAGAGCAGCTGTGCTACCGTGCGCCTCATGGGTTTCAAAATGCGTATGTGCGATAAAAGATGACTTTCCTCGGGAATGGTAGCACTTGTCAAGACGATTTCTTTTTTTAATTTGATATAGCAAAATGAGAGGAATACGTATATTTTTATCAAAAATCAATAAAATAAATAATTTTTGCACGAATTTTGAGTTATGCCACTTTCGTTTACTTTTAAAAAATAGTTATAGGGTAATCAAGTTTTATTAGTTTGTGTTTATCAATGCATTCCACGAAATTCACGTTTTAATGAATGAGTATCTCTAAAAAAATGTGTGCCCTTTCTAAATCTTAATTTAAACCCACGGTACGCGATAAACTTTTTGAAATTTTCTTAATTAACAATCCTGACAATGTTACAGGGAGAAATATGTCGAAAAACGGGTCATTTTTCGTTTTTTTTGTGTTTGTTGTTCCCCTGAATTATTTAGCAATGCTTTTTTGGAATAGACAAACTCGGATTCTTATTCTACATAAAATTTGGGATTTTTCTGTACAACAAAATAGAAGACTTCAAACATAAACGCCAAAGCCCTTTTACTGCTCTACCGCCTGGACTATAGTTAATCGATAAAATTGTCTCATTTGGTGATAGGAAAATCCACGAGTGATTTTTGAGAAACAAATGCATCTACGACTTAAAAATCAATAAAAAATGTACAGTTTTTTTTTATTAAAAGTCTGTGTTTTCTATCAAGTTACATCTTGCGTGAATTTTGACACACCCTTTAGATAATTGACCTACCGCATCTAAATTAACATAAACAGTGAAGGGATCGTCAACCATGTCTGTCGTCGATCCCTTTTCTCTGTCCTTCCTGGAAATTATACTACCTCCTCTATAAAAGAATGGTGACTGAAAATAAAAAAAGTAAATATTAAAAAAACGTTATCTTATCACCAATTTGAGCTCGATAATCAATTCTGTCCAAAATAAAATGCATCTTTATTTACCGCAGAAATGTCCACATCGATTTCTAATTCCGTTCCCGCAGAATACGACGTCCAAGATTCATCGTCAACTCGGTACCAAAGGGCAGGCTCTTCCCCTGGTAGTGTGACTGTGACTTTGGTGGCGCTCTCTTCGAATACGGGTCTAGCCAAGATGTCAGTACCTAAAAAACGATGCCTTTACTAGATATTTAACAATGCGGAAAAAAATCGGAAAAGTTGGAAAAAAACGGTTTTCTTTTTTCGGTCTTTCCGAAGCAAAATATTGGAAAAATTGGAGAAACTCGAAATGAAAACACTTGAAAATTAGTTAGAAACTTAACGTATTTTAACAAATGCCCTCAGATTTCAAATTGGTAGATATCAAGCACAAGTTAACAAAAGAAATATAATAAAAAATATAAACAATAAAAATAAACAAATTTTTAGTTCTTTATAACTAAAAAAAACATATAAAGTATTTATTTTACCAAATTAAAAAACTGAGCTCAAAAAAATTGCAAATTCATTTAAAGGATTCATTCTAGTTTTTGGCAGAGCGTATGCCACCTGAAAAGCATGGACTTTTTTTTCATCCGAATATCGAGAAGTTTTCCCAAATTTCATCGGTTTTTATTTGAGAAGTCACTTGCTGCAGCGTTTATTTAGCAGTTTTGGATGGAGAACCGCTGATCAGGGCCGTAATAAGAATTTTTTGGATTTAAAATAAAAATAAATTAATACTATTGGAACTTAACAAAATATCCCACATTTACAAAAAATGTATTTTTTAATTTTGGGTAATTGAAATAATAATTTTCTCCTAAACCAAAAATCTCACGGTTGCCTTTTTTTTTTGTCAAGTAAAAGTTACATACTAGGAGATTTTTTTTAAATCCATAAATGAGTCTGTTTCCCATTTGCTGCAAAAATACTTTGTTAAATATTTTCTTTGGAAGATCCTGGCAAAAATTTGGGACATAATGAAAAGAAAAATCTGGAAAAATTTTTAGATTTACCTGGAAAATCTGTACTATACATCAGGGAATTTTTTGGTCCAAATTTGGTCCAACATATTCATAATCTTTATTAGCTAGGAGCGGAAATGGTCTGATATATTTTTTTTTAATTAAAATAATGTCTAAAAGTTATTTTGTATATTGTTTATGCTGGCAAACATAATGGCTAGAATCTTACCTTTAATTTTTCCCTTTTTTCCCAATTTAGACCGATCGAAATAACTCATTTAGAGGCAAAAAAAGAAAAAAATGTTACCTGGACTTTTATAATAAACGTAAAAAAAAATAAAAACCTGANAATTTATGAATTTCATGGAGTAATATTATCCGCTTTTTTGGTCGGTAGTAAAATGTAGTAATTTAATTCATTTTGTTCGAGATATAATAACCGCAATATTTAGGAAACGTCTATTTTTAGAAATTAAAGTATAAAACATACAACAGACATGCACATAGACATAGAATATATTAATTGTAATAAAATCCTGACAGGATAGATAATTTAAAATATAATCTTAAGTAATGATATATCAAATATTTAAATGCATAGGTGTGTATACATTTTAATAGCATTTTATTAGGTTTAACATAGATACGACTAATTAAGTGAATTATTTTACGGGTGCTCCACACACCAATCGCTTCAATTAAGTTTTATCTAGAATTAATCAAAATTTATTTTAGAATTGTGCTACTGATAACTATTAAATACTTTTTTACTATTTAGATTTGCTTTTTCTCTTTTATTTTGTTTTATTATTTTGGTATTACCAGAGATTTAAATTAATTCTATTTCTTTCAATATTTATGCAAATCGATAGTACTGACTTATCATAATAATATGTCAATAAATGTACAATTTTAACAGATTTTTTAAATTTTGAATTAACTTGAAATGCGTTAATTTGACGATAATTTAAAAATACAAGACCTAATAAAATAATGTATAGCTAATTAAAAAATATGTTAAGAACTTCCTAAAACTGACAATATAATTTTAAATTTCATATTTACTTACAGTACAACCAAATTAGGTACAATTAGAGAAAAAAAAATTGTTACCTGGATTTTTATAAGTGGAAATGGCAAAGGGGCTTATAATAAAAGTAAATAAAATAAATGCGTGAGCAGCGGTGGCGGAGGATTGATTTGGGGGGTTGAAAGTTGTGAAAAATTGTCATTGGAATTTCTGGCAAAAGTTGACGTAAAAACAAAAAAGTATCCGATACAAAAGTTGTAGATCATGCAAAAATCTACAAGTTTTGTAGGGGCTTGGTGAAATTGTAGATTTATGTGTCTTAAATTTTTTAGATAAAAAAAAGTTTCCGAAATATTAATTTTTTCTAGTGTGAAACACAAATAGAAAAATCATAGTATAGAGTTCTGTACTGTAGAAAAATAATTTTGGGTCAAACAACGAGACACATTTTTTTTTATTATTTTCCGTAAAATTGAATGGTGTAATCAGTTTTGATTTTTTTTAAATTTAAACAAATTATCAACAATTACTGAAAAATTCATTGTTGCAAGTCATTATTTATTTTTTTGCATTTTAAGCATGTTTTTGAACTGCGATTACAGATTTTCTTATTTCACCAAAAAGTATGTATGTATGTTAAAAATGATCACCGGCAGAACTCTGTACGATGATTTTTCTAAGCAGAATTTTTTTTCTTTAAAAAAATTTGTGATTATTTTAGACACAAAAAGGTATATTTTCAGCAAGTTTCGTCAAAATTAAATTATTTTTACGGAAAAGAGAAATAAAAACCGAAAAATAAGGATAAAATCTGTCTTTCGCATTTTTCTCGGAAATTTGAAGGTTATCTTAAAAAGTGACCTATACAAAAGTTGTAGATTTTTGCACGACCTACAACTTTTGTATTGGATACTTTTTCGTTTGATGCCAACTTTCGCCAGAAATCCCAATGATATACTTTTTAACAACTTTTCACCCCCCCCCCCCCATTAAACCTCCGCCACCCCTGCTCACGCATTTATTTTTTTATGTTTATTATAAGCCCCTTTCTACATCCAGGTAACATTTTTTTCTCTAAGTGTAATTTGGTTGGACTAATTTTTCTAGGAAAAAAATCCTAAAACCAATCTTTTCAGAAATTTTGAATTTCAAACTCAAACTACCTACATCTTTACGGGTCTATTAACAATTTGGTTTTCTGATACTTTTTCCATAATTTCTATACCTCTAAGTATAAAATTTCCCATTATTTCT